AGAATGTTGGAGGCAGGACTCAGGCAAAGCAGCCAGTGGATAGGGAGACCCTCTGAATGACAGATCAGAGAGCGAACTGATTTTGGAGCATGATGGAATGTTCAGGGGAGTCCATGACCAAAATAGAATTATATATACCGGAGGATTGTATTTCATCCCCTCCTTCCTCCAAGGGCGGCATGGATTGTTCTGTGCTCCTCCAGGGTAGGTGAGGAGCGAGGGACCAACACAAGGACACTCAGTGAACTTCACAACTGAACACCAGGATTTGAATCCAGATCTCCAAGAACCAATTCCAAACCTTAGATTTTTAGCTAGATTACTTTGGCTTCACAACTCACTGGCACATTTGGGAAACAAAGTTATATGAAGCAGCAAGCATTTACCTCTCTTACTTAGAGGTAAGATGGCCCAGGCTAGCTTGATCTTGTCAGATTTTGGGTGCTAAGCAGGGTCAGCCCTGGTTAGTATTTGAATGGGAGACCACCAAGAACATCCAGGGTTGCTAGGTGGAGTCATGCCATGGTAAACCATCTTGGAACGTCTCTTGCATTGAAAGGCCACGGGATCGACACATGTCAGCTGTGATCTGATGGCACTTTCCACCACCCCTTACAAGTAAATCCTTCTCTGTTCAGTGAAGAACGGGATGCTGGCCTAAATAACAATGTATTAATCACTGCTTGTACTGATCTCAGCAGTTTGAAACGAGCCAAATCCCCAACTTAACCAGTCAGTGATACAATCGGTTTAAATATGCAGCGTAAGTGTCTCCCTCTACCTGACCTCCAAGGCTGCCTTATCTCTCCTTCCAGAAGCTAGAGGAAGAGTCTTGCGGGAAACATGCCCCTTCCCCATTTCCTGCAGTTGTTTCATGCTGCCCTAGTGGCCCAGTGCACTGCTGTGTAGTTTGCATCGAGATCCTTTGGCCTTCTGGGCAGTCTTGAAATGATATGGAGAAATGACTGGAGAAAGCTGCAAAGATCAGCATCAGATCAGACTGATCCGTAACGGAAAGACGTATCAGCAGGGCTCATTATGAACAGTTGCCAATGTTGTGAAAAGACTCAAATATCCATCGTCCAGTTGAGTGGCAAGTTTTGAGCGCTCACAATTAGCTATTCTGCCTTTAGCTTTCTAATAAGACGGCTCTCACAGTAATTGGGTTTTAATTTTTTTTAGTCTGTCCAGTCCCTTAAACTCAGAAAAGATCCCCCCCCCCATGATGTACTAAAATGTAGGATATAATGTCGTCAGTACCTTCACTATTACTAGTGTTCATGCAGTTTTGTAGTGGGGCACAGAAAGCCGAAATGCTAAGGCCTTGCCGAAAGCGCTCTAACTTTATGGTAAGTCGCCTTGAACTGTGAGGAATGGCAGGATGGGTCAGTCATAAGCAGTGTTCCCTCTAAGCTGAGTTAGTGTGAGCTAGCTCACAGTTTTTACTGCATGGTGCAGTTCGTCTTCATTCGCTGAACTGCATGGTGCAGCCTTTCCTCTTTCCTCAGCATGATGCAGCATTCAGTTTTTTCAGATAATTTGTGTCTAGTCAGAAGTAAGGTGAACTTGGATGGTCAAAAAAAACCCTCTTAAAAAATGTTATACTCCAAAAACAATTTATGGGTCTTAATTGTAACTTGTATGGGAATGTAAGATAAGCCTCTCTTTTTTGGATGGTATAGCTGGAGAAACCCATGATCTTGTATTGGACTAAATATTGTATATATTACTATGTGTATAGCAGGCAGGCAGGGAGGCAGGAAGGAAGGAAGGAAGGAAGGAAGGAAGGAAGGAAGGAAGGAAGGAAGGAAGGAAGGAAGGAAGGAAGGAAGGAAAAGGAAAAGCAGTGTCCCTACGAAAGAAATAGCAAGGGGGCAGGTTAATGGCTAGGACACAAGGAAACTGCAAGGTAGGATGATGTACTGGCTAGAATGTTAGATTAGGATTGGGAAATTGTTGTTGTTGTTGTTGTTGTTCAGTCGCACAGTCAAGTCCGACTCTTCGCGACCCCATGGACCACATCACGCCAGGCCCTCCTGTCTTCTGTCATCCTCCAGAGTTTGCTTAATTTCATTGCATTCATTCCTTGCATCGATAAGGGTTGGGAAGAGCAGTCTTCCAGTCCCCACTTGTCCACGATGCTCATTGTGTGAACTGGGGCCATTTGCCACATTTCATACAAGCTTATTTCTACGGGGTTGTTATTTATTTATTTACATTATGTATAGTCCACCATTCCCACTGAAGGCAGATTACAGAGACTCAATCAATACGATCAAGAGACCAGAGGCAAACTGCAGCCTAAGCGTTAACATGACACAGCACTTTTAAATGCTGATTACTTTTTTGTCGTTCAAGTTAAAAATATCTGAGAACTAGGGTGCCAAACTAAAATGTGAGAAGGATACAAGGGAGGGAGAGGCTGCTGTGCCCAGTTCCCTGAGCCCCTTGCAGGGAGGAGGATAAGAGTGTATGAGTGAAGGAGAGGGCTTTGGCTGGGGTGGTACTGCCGTAGCTGGAACAAAGCGGCTTTGCGTGCTCTCCCGCATTCCACAGCCAAAAATACGAATACGGTTAATAGAGAGCCTCTTTCTGAGCACCAGATTGCTGGTGGTTGCCTTCTGTGACGTTCATTTATTTCACACGAGCCTTTTCTGCACTTTTAAATGCTGATTACTTTTTTGTCCTTCAAGCTAAAGATATCTGAGAACCAGTGTGCTGTAGCAGCTAGGGTGCCAAACTAAAATCAGGGCAAACCAGGTGTGAATCCCCACACTGACATGGAGGCTTGTAGGGTGACCTTTGGGCCAGTCACGCGCACTCAGCCAAGCCTACCTCACAGGGTTGTTGTTGTGAAGATGACATGGAGGAGAGGAGAATGATGTAAGTCACCATGGGTCCCCTTTGGAGGGAAAGTTCTGGTATAAATGAAGTAAAGACATAATGGGAAGGGAATCACGTTCCCATCAGTGTGTTCTAGAAATGTTCAAACCTGACCTCAGCTGCTGTCTTGTATGAAATGCAAGGTGACACCTCTGAATTCATGGTTATCTGTCTCATGTTGGGAGGCAGGTTTTTTCTCCCCCACAGCATCATGGTGCATTTGTGCATCTCCCAGGGCTTTCCCAGCTTTTCTCTAATTTATCTCTGATCTGCTTTGCTGCAAAGTTTTGGAAAAGATCACAGGAAAACCTGCATTGGTGCCATGTGGGCAGGGAAAATGGGATTTTCCCACTCACATGGCAGCTGTTTTCCCATACACTATCCCCACACAGGCCATTTCTCCCTCCCCCCGAGTTGTTTTCATTTTTTTTAAAGGCAGTTGAATATTATTATATTGATAGAACATAATAGCAATATGTGTTAACGGTTTCTTAGAATTTCCAGATCTCATTTTTATAATAAATCTCTAGCCCTCGAAGCTCAAATACTTTGGCTACCAAATGAGAAGGGAGCACTCACTGGAGAAGAAGACCCTGATGCTGGGAAAGATTGAAGGTCAAAGAAGACGGGGACGGCAAAGGATGAGATGGATAGACAGTGTCATAGATGCAACGAACATGAAGTTGAGCCAACTTCAGAGGACGGCGGAAGACCGGAAGGCCTGGCGGGATCTGGTCCACGGGGCCGCAAAGAGTAGGACTCGACTGTGTGACTGAACACCAACAAAAAGCCCTCTCTGTTGTGGAGATATAAGGGGAAAGGCATAGCTCTGCAACGAAAGACTTTTTTAAAAAAACAAATGCTTCAAATTCAAAGAACCTTTTACACATATTATAGTAATGGTATAACTATATTCAGTTGCCAGTTTTAAAAAAATTGAAAAAGTGCCAGTGGCCCGGGGGGCGTGGGAGGGTGGCAGCCACCCTGAAGGACTCCGGCAGAGAAGCCTCAGGGAAGCCTGCACTGCATTGGCTGCTGCTGCAGCAGCAACAGGGGAACCACACAAGCCTGTTCCCGTGTGGAAATGCGTGTATGTTTACAAGCGGAATCGATTCCATGTTTCTGAGATTTAAACCCTAAAGAACATCAGCTCCTGATAACACAAATTTAATCAACGTATCCCTCAAAGAGAACAATAGAGACAAAGAGTCATTTACCAGGCATAGGAACCAGAACGTAGGAGCTGTACCTGGTAAACAGGGCAGGGGGTATAGCTCAGTGGAAGTGCATCTGCTCGGCGTGCGGAAGGTCGCAGGTTCAGTCTTTGGCATCTCTAATTAAAAGGATCAGGTAAAAGGTGATGGGAAAGACCGTGCCCCGTGAGCCTGGAGAGTGGCCATCTGCTTTGCTCCAGAGAAATCTTGAGACTGGCCCTGCCAGCCTGCGAGTGCCACCTTGCAAACACTCCTGAAAACCTGGAGTACTCGCAAGGATCCTGCTGCAAAAAAGGCTTTTAAATCGGTCTCTGTAAGAAAGGTGAACAATGAAAGAAGCAGATAAACAAATGCAGAATCGTGAGTTTGCCGATTTCAGTGTTACTTGTTTTAATTTCCAGCTGCCAAGAACAGGGGCGAAGAACAGCAGTGAACCAAATCACCGGCCACGGAGCCAACACAATCAAGAGCATAGAGGAAAAGCATGTCCGGCAAGGTGACAAGGATAAGGTATGTCACTTGGAAGACTGACCTCATGCTCTTTGCTGTGTGCGGAATAATTTTCTTCTGCAGCTTCCCAGGGACTGGTTTCCTTTGAGTACCAAATCTTTGACATGCTTGAGATTTTTCCACCCTGGGATCACATTCAACTCTCCTCTGTTTATCTAAATTCTAGACTCTGGCGATGATGTCACTTGGTCCTTTTTTAAGCTCCCCAGAGTTGCATGACTCCAAATGCCTTTTGGGTGTCGGGCCTGAGAAAGAGCATCGAGAGGGCTCAGCCATTGCAGTGTCCTCCAAAGGGAATCCAATGAATGTGCCCTCTCATCTCCTCAAAATGCTCAGCTGTCTCTGGGGGCTGTTTTCTGCTCTCAGTAGTACCCCGCTCCAACCACTCTGCCTTCATGGCGCTGTCCCCAGGTTGTGGATTATGTATCCAGTCCCACCCCACTCTCTGCACTTTGTGAAAACTCTCAGACCGATTTCCCACAAGCCGCTGCTCCGTGCTCGCTCTTCCCTTTGCCCCGATCGTACGTGTCAATTTCACACTATGTGCTGCGCGGCCGCATTTTGCCCCGCAGCTTCGCCCAATTTCCCCCGCATCTACTCAATCCTGTTTTTTGAGGATCGAGTAGATGTGGGGGAAATTGGGCGAAGCTGCGGGGCAAAATGCGGCCGCGCAGCACATAGTGTGAAATTGACACGTACGATCGGGGCAAAGGGAAGAGCGAGCACGGAGCAGCGGCTTGTGGGAAATCGGTCTCAGTTTCTAGGGAAGAAAGTGAGATGAGAAAAATGCATTTCCGTTTTCAGAAGCCTTGCATAGTCTTTCTGTCATCCACCCACCCTACCCAAACCGTGCTCTATTAGGGCAGCTAGTGAAAAGAATATTTAACAGCCTAGCATTCCAGCAGCACCAGTGATATGAAATATGTCAACGGCAGTTCTACTACCAGGCCCAGACGTAGCTGCTAAAGGCCTTGCAGGTCAACAGACAGATCAGATTTTCCCTGAAAGTGACAAGCGATGCATATAGACCAGGGACATCCATCAAGTTCAGCATCCCGTGGTCCAGGAAATTCCCATGTGTGCCTGCCTGGGAATTAAGACCATCAGAGAGGTTCTTCTGACTATTGCACCAATCAGAGAAGCTTGTCTGGTGGGTGCATAAAAAGAGGGCCTTTTTGGTGACAGCCCCACAATTATGGAGCAACAGGAAGGTGCGCCTGGCCCCCTCACTTACAGTCTTCAGGAATCAGCTGAAGACACTTTCATTTAAGACTGCATCTGACAAAAGCCCGCATGCTCTGGGCATTTGACTGCTTTAGTTTTCTATTTGTTAGCAGTCCTAATTGGAGATTTTAAAATCTGTGATTTGTATCATTGTTGTTTTATTTACATTGTAAACCGCCTTGAGTTCCGCAAGGTATACAAGTGGCTAATAAGTGTTTTAAACAGTGCAAGTTAATAGACCTGGCTGACTGGTCATCCCCTCCTTCCACGTGGGGCAAGCAGCACGGGCTTGCGAGCCAAACTCCAGCTGGAATGCTAAACTGAGCGAGAGGAGGAGTCCCCCCTCCCACCCGGCTGCTGTGGCCCTGGTGCCGGCAGGCAGGCTGCTCTTCCTCCCCTCTCCCTGCAGTGTTCCTGGCGCCAGAAGCCCTCAGAGATGCTGCTGCTGTCTCAGGTCCGTTGGCATCTTAGACATAGAGTGTCTTGGATCCACTGATCTGCCAGCGGAAACATAAATGGACTAATGTAGTCCCGCTTGTGCAAGATCTTGTGCAGGACTTTAGGCTTTCCTCCCTATATATTTTTGTTCCCAGGAATTGGTTGCACAATATCTTGCTCAAGTGGAAATAGGGATAAAATATAAGCAGGGGTCATTTCCAGCAGGAGCTCCGGCAGTAAAGAGCCCAGGGGGCGGGCACATGCAATAAGCCCCACCCCCTGTTCCCAGCAGCCCTCAGTCAGAGCAAGAAGCAGCCAGGTAAGTTGCAGAGCCCCCCCCCGCCCCCCAGTCCAAAACAGTCCAGTGGTACCTTTAAGACCAAGTTTTATTCAGGCACAAGCTCTTCCTCCTCTACGAGGACGGATCTGCACGTCCCCCCCCCCAATAGCTGGCCGGTGGGTGTTGCCTTCTGACACACCTCCGGTGATGGCAGGGTGTGTGGCATATGCAAATAAGTTATGCTAATGAGTTATGCTAATGAGCTCCTGCACCTCTTTTTCTACGAAATGACCCCTGAATATAAGTCTGACTTAGCGCAAGTGGCTGCTGCAGTCTTTCCCCTGCACTTCCACTTGGCAAGAGAGCTCTAGTGCAAGCAGCAGTTTGGCCCTGGATCCAGCTCAGCATCTTTTATCGTCAGGGTCAGGGGGGGATGAAAGAAAGAGAGAAACTGACCTGTTTCTTGCAGTCAGTCCCCAAAGTAGCAGCGGCCAATACCGAAGCAGCTGTTGCCGCTGCCACTGCCAGAGCAGCTGCCCGGGGTTCGCGGCTGGATCAGGAGCTCTCCCTCCTCCCGTGGCTTCTGGATGTTGTAAAGCTCATGTCCCTTGCTGCAGATCTCCAATGCAGAAACCCGTGAAAGGATTTTAAATCACATATTGGTAACATAGAGAGGCACTCTCCGAAGTTGGCATCCCATGGCTTCACTGTCATTTTTTTTTTTTGGGTTTTCAAAATTTTATTTAATTAAAACAATACAAACATGCATACTGAAAGACATAGTACATTGTGTTTTCAATCAATTCCAGCTCAGTAACTGTACATTGCACATAACTAGCCTTAGTCTAATCTACTTTTCACATCTAATACCTATATGATGAGAGCTCAGACTAAACAACCGTGAATCAAAAATGCGTCCATTCCAGATAGTTATGGTTTGAGGGTAGGAGATCATTTCCCACAAAATATGTGATCAAAGGGAACCGCCTGCGCACACATTTGGTATGAGATCCCGTATGACTGCTCGTTTGGGCCTTCATATTTATCTGCAATCTTGTCCATTATAAAATGATCCCAACATTTATTTCGCCAGTTCTGAATGGTAGGAGGTTTGGGAGATTTCCATGAGGCCACTATAAGTCAGTGTTGCCGTAGCCAATAATGTAGAAGTGATATCTGATCTATATATTTCTTGATTATCTTTTGTGATTGTTGAGTTTAATAATAGAATAGCCGGTTCACTGTCATCACAGCCCCATAAAGAAGTTTGGGACCAGACATGAAATGATCTGTTATCAGCTTGATAGCTTAAGCAGTAGAAAAGAGTCTAATAGGATTTGTGACAGGGGAGGAGCTTTCGGGAGTCACGGCTCACTTCTTCAGAATGCCAGCTGTTGCCCAAACAGAAAGTGCATTTTACTAATGTAGTGCAGCGGTGAAATAGACCCCAAAGTATTTTCTAGAAACGAGGAACTCCTGGTGTTGCATTGAGCATGACCCCTGCCATAAAGGGGGGGGGGGGATTAGGAATATCTTTTCCACGGTACAGAAATTAAGGATTTTTCATGGTAAAGAAATTAGAATTTCTTTTTCACAGTGCAGTAAGAGAACAACAGCAACAGTACCAGAAAGAAATTATGCAAAAATTAAGAAAATAAGATTTTGTCAATTTCACATGACATGCTAATTTTAGAAAACAGCAAGAGTCCAGTAGCACCTTAAAGAATAACACAGTTTGTGGCGGGGAGGAGCTCACACAGTGACTCATGAAAGCTGATTCCCTGCCGCAAATTGTGATAGTCCTTAAGGTGCTACTGGACTCTTGCTCTTTTCTTCTGCTACAGACAAACCCGGTGACCCATCTTGATGCTGATTTTAGTTTCCCCAGCAATGCATTGGGGGTAAAAATGACCCCAGCAGCCATCAGAGTAAACACTGATTTACAAAAAAAACCTCCAGTGGGGGGCACAAAACTCCAAAAGGCAATTTGATCTCTTAAGATGGAGGAATTCTTGGAATACGCAATTGTAGAAGAAACACTGTTACAGCGGTTTTCCATCCCTTCTCCTGTCAGTGTGACCACACTTTTGGGGTAAAGGCTGTCTATCCAGCAGTATTATTTACTGAAGATGGTTGTGGACAGGTTTCCGCATTTCTTGCCACTTTTGCATTTGTATGTGAATGGCCATCTTAATTTAACATGTAAGCATTTCTTTGCTACATGATACGTTAATATAGAAAAACAGGTTTCTCTTTGCACAAAACCTACGTGCATTTGCACAAAACCTACATGCATTTGAGCATTTCAAATTTCGAATGCTCAAATGGAAAGATACAGGTCACCTGTCACAAATTATTGGAAGAAGCTCTGCATTATGAATTCTTCTGTGCCAGAGAAGTTGGACTAGATTCTAAAATAGTTGCACTCCCCCACCCCCCAGCTCTTCCTCAGCCCATATACTCGATGGATAAACATGCCAGATCTTTCTTCTCCAAGCCATAATTAGAAACATGTGGATAAATTGTACCCTTTTACAAATAACATTTTCATTCCTTCTCCAGCCTGCTGACTTAATAATGCTTTTTGAATGTCCTTTTTGATAACTGTACCTCTCCATGAAGATTTATTCTTGTTAATAAAAATGAAATTCTCCGAGGCTGGGGTTTCAGAACTCTCCCTGCCAAGTCCCAGTTTTGAGAGCACTCCCCCACCACCACCACCCCAGTAATGCTCTAATGAAGTCTGTGGGTGTCTGCGTTATGCTAAGCTTTTAGATAAGAGAATATAATTTTATAAACCACACCCTGGTGGGAAGCTTATATAGCCTCCAGTCTTCCCCTTTTCTTTTAAACCACTGATAAATTCCCACCAGAAACAGAATATTCTGGAAACAGACCAATCCATTTCCCACCAAGGAATTTTATGGATGTGGGGCTAGCCAGATGAGACGATAAAAAATGTCGGCAGTTCTGACACCCTGGTTTCAGATGACTGAGTTATGAGACTGGCAGGGGCTCAGATGGGATCATCTTCCCTGTGTGCCCTGAGTCTGCTGTA